TTAAAGAGACTATATAACAACACAACCAAAGAAGGTCTGTTAATATAAAACATCTGGTTGGGCTCAAGGGGGCGCCTTATTTTAGAGAGTGATTGTTCTATCGCCTTGGATTGGATTAAAAATCCTGGTTTCTGTACTACTTTGTTTGAGTCTTTGGCGAAGGATATTGTTGCTATAGTATTAGTTCGGAATGTTATTGTTAGGCATATTCAGAGATCTGCAAATTGGGAGGCGAATGAGTTAGCTAAGTTAGGAATTGGTTAAATGCTGTGTGTATTTTGGTCTTACCTTTAGGTGATAGGTATTTGGTTGAGATTTTTTTTCCTAACCATGCTCTTTGTACTATTGATGTATCTTAAGTTTGGTAATAAAATTTTTGAGGTACTCTTTTCCTCCTTCCAATGTCCGTTGAGATACTTTTCAGTAGCTCGACGGTTATGAAGGGGTTTTTTACTTTTTAACGAGACCTCCCTATCTTATCAAAAATATATATATATAAATATATAAAGCACACTGCAGATATAAGTGTTTGTGGAATTTGGCCCATAGGTAGGCACGTGCACTTTGGTGTATGACTAACCCATTCAAAAGCTAATATTATACACGAACCTTCTCCTCATAATCATTTCTCTCACGAATGCTAGTCGCTAATCCCATGATAAATGTATCTATTGGAGCACGGTCTTTGGCCCAGCCAGATTGTATAATCTCACAACATGTCTTAAGAACACCCTCAAAGAGGGCTCCTTGGCTGTTGCCCCAAGTATCAGCCTGTGGTGATGACATCGTAAAAAATATCAGAAAGGAGAAAAATTATCAACCTATAAGACCATTTTAGAGATCAGAATCTAAATCCCAACTATAATACAGACCTGCATACATGCAGCCAGTACAAGGGGTTTAAGGCGAATGAGCAAGATACGCAGTGGCTGCCCTCCCCTAGGGAGGGCAATTTCTACAATCCCAGAAAGCAAGGAATTGAAAAGCTCCTCACAGACTCTCAACTTTCGCCATACAGAGACAATACATGCTTCAGCAGCATCTATCAACAATGCAAGTGTCTCAAGGATCAGCTTCTTAGAGGTCTTAGCATCTGCCTCAAGAGATAGAAGACTTCTAATTTGCATCCTAACAGCAGCTTGATATACAGAAAGTTTAGCGTTAACTCTGGATTTTAGAAGTGACCCCTGTTCAGTCCAATCACGCTTCCTGATCTGCAAACGAAGACAAGAAAAGTATCCCATCTAATTTTTCATTACTCAGCTCATATAAATTTCAAATACTAACTTATTACACAAAATTACTACAAGTGTGAGTTCATAACTTTCCCTAAAAGTGCACCATTCAGTTGACTAAACTTAACGAAAAGAAGAAGAAAAATACCACAAGATAGCAGTTGACAATTACCTTCAGAAAAGCTGACATAGACTGAAGCTGCTTCTTCGCAATAAATCTCACTTGCACCAAAAGCTTTTGATCAATACTTACTTTTTGCAAAGTATGAGCAATCAATTTAAAAGCAATTTCATGCTTCTCCATGCTCTCCACCGACTCCTCCTCAAAGGAAGAAACCTGCTGCCTAAACATAGGCCCACCACCATTTGCAATCAATGACCCTCTGGATGAGTCATTGGCTGGGCTTGAAACCTCAATGCCTTGAAAATGCTTGACGCTCAGAGGTGAACTTTGAGAAGACGATGTCTCCGAGCTTCCTGTAATCAGCTCCCTCGGTGATTCCGGAACTGACATAGCCAACTGATCGAGAAGGTAATTTATCAAGTTATCAGCGTCGGACGGCAAAATCGGGGGGAAATTCTGCGATAAAGCCAACAAAAAAGCCCTAGAAATTGCCGGATCACTTCCGTTTGTCTCATGGTTATTAACCGCTGCCGTAACTACCTCCCCAACCAACCCGGCGATCTCCAAACCGAAATCAGGAGACGAATCAGCAGATTCAGACACGTATTTCAAGAAATCAGCGAAAAACGAAACAATTGAATCGTTGTTGTACGACTGCGGCCAAAAGGAAGGATGAAACGACGCCGGAATAACTCGAATAAACTCTAGCATCACCGATCTGGGACGGTTATCCGTACAATTAGGGCACTTAGACAGCAATCGCGCCACAACAAGCACCGCATTGAGGTGAGACCGTGAAACTCGAGGCGATCCGCTCAGTAACAACTCCGACGGCGGACATCTACCGCAAATCCAGGCGATTTTATCGCTAAATTTCTCCGGATTTTTTGCTATAATGTCGCACAGTTCGATCATCGACTCCATTCTCCGATCAACAAGATTTCAACTAAAAATCCGATCAAAATCAACTCTAGCGACCAGATTTCGTCATCAAAAAGATCGCATAACGGACAAAAAAACAGCTTCGATATGCCCTAGGGTTTTGGACTTCTCATAGATTACGAAGCTGCCTTTGCAACGTCGCTGTTGGCTCAGTTTATGTAATTGTCACCGTTTGTTGCCATGGACTCCTCTCTTTTATTTTCTCACTTTCTCTGCTTTTTGTATGCTGCTTTTGATTCGTCCAATTGTCTTTTTACTATGTGTAAAGTAACTACAAGTCCCTCAGTTATGTACAAATATTTTTCAGTTAATTAACTTTTAAATATTACAAATTGGTCATGAAATCTCTTAAATGATTACAAAACGGTCCAGCAACGTTAATGTAGTAATAAATTTTAATAAGTTTAGGAACCATTTTATAATATTTTAATAATTTTAAAGATTATCTTATAATAATTTTATAAATTTAATTTTTAAAATTATTTTAAAATTATTTTAAAACTTTAACGTTCATTTTATAATATTTGAAAGGTTCCCTATCAAAGAATACTTTTATATAATTTAGGCATAATTTTTTTATAGAACATTGATTAGATAGTCATTTTAATCTCTATTCTTTTTTGAAGCAATTTAGTCCCAATCATTTTGGATAAATATTGCCCTACATAGATAGAAACTATTAGTTAACAAACAATTAACACTCCAAAATAGAAGTCTTTTTAACTTAAAATAAAACGTTAAGGTTTAAAATACTCTAAAAAATAAAGGCTAAAGTGATTAGTCGAACAAACATTTGAAGGTTTTTCTCCTAAAATAAGACATCAATGTCAAAATGACAACTTTGATATTACATCTATAATTTAATGACTTGTAGTATATTTTACCCTTTAATTATTTTTTCTAGGATTCTTTTTTATTCGGTTTAATCTGTCTTGACCGGCAGGCTGGCACGGGTGTATTAATTACTAATTCAGGCGTGGCAAAATTCTATCCATTTCTGATATTTTGCATAGATCTGACCTGAATCCTCATTCTTTTTAAGGTCATATTCCATGAATAATCCTTGCAGTTCATTTAAATTACTATTTTAGTCCTTCTACTCCGACTCCCATTTAGGTCCACCTTCGGTTTGTTAACCTAACCTGTTTATGCTCATTTGACCATCAATGAATTAAAATATTTTTATAAAAGAAAAAAATTAAAAATCTCAGTTTGACTCAAGAATTACTTGAGTCATGAATTAAGATTAGGGATGGGCATGGGTCGGGTTGGGTCAGATTTTGGTCCACCCGACCCAACTCGAGAACAATGACTCCCACCCGAAATTCAATACGACCCGCATAATATATGCTCTCCACCCGACACGATTTTTTAAAAAAAAATTCAAACCCGACACAACCCGAAATAATAAAAAAATATTATATTTATTCAATAAAAATAGTAATTTAATTGGAATATATATATAAAGAGGGGTATTATTTGTAATTATTCCTAAATATATAAGGTAAAAAAATTCGGATTGGGTCTGATATTATTTACCCTAAACCCGAATCTAACTCGACCTGAACACCACATTTAAAAAACCCAACCCGACAGGTCGATCCCATGCCCATCCCTAATTAAGATACTCAGATTTGACTTATCTTAAGACTGGATGATAGCCAATCTTAATTCAGGGTTTCTTTTCAAATTCAACAAAAAATCCTTAAATATACAAAAGCAATTATAAAAAACATATATCAATATCCAACACTCATCAATAATACGAATATGATGGTCATTAACAAAACCACTAGTTGCATGTAGAAAAGGAAATGAAAGAACATTCAGTCTGTTACATATGATTTGAAAATAAAGATTATTGCCTCCAGAAAAATAAAAGATCTGAATTGTGACTCTTCTGCTCATTTCCATCCACTCAATTCCCTTCTTGCTATGTCCCTTCAAATAAACCTATAAAAGAAAAGAAAAACAACTAACAGCAAGTGTTGATCCAATCTTTTTCATTTTTCTCAATGTATTCAGATCTAAATTATGTCAATTCTGTAAACAAGTACAATAAAACCCCATAAATGTAGGTAAAAAAACCTTAAATTTTTAAATAAACATTAATATTCTATACCTTTCTTAGATAATACCCGTACATACATGACACATTGTTTGAATCATAAAGACAAACATGTATACAAAGCTATAATAATCCTCCAAATGTAAGAAAAAGTATACCCTTGTCGGATATATACTCATATCCGATATTCTATTCGAATTCGAATAACATAACTAGTAACAAATGGTTGATAAGAGCTAATAGAAAAGAGTTCTGCAAACAATATAGTCCTTCAGATGTAAGAAAAAGTATACCTTTATCCAATCTATATAGTCATATTCGATATTCTATTAGAATCAGAATAACACAATAGTTGGTATGATCTAATAGAAGTACTACATTATTGTATGCTTCATGCTTCATGCAACATTGGGTATGGAAAGTGGAAACCATTAGAGGAATCCAGCATTTATGGAACAAGGTGTTGCCAATAATAAGAACAGTGCAGTTTTTGTATCTACGACTTAAAATCAAATGGCCCAAATTGCAGAAAACACCTAAGAACAAACGTAAAATCATAAACAAAGTAGCTTGATATACGTACCAAGATAATATGAAATCTTCCTGGAACACATCCGATCACTGGAAAGCGTCAAAATTCTCGATCGAAAGGGCCAGTGGGGTCGAGTTGCTTGCAGAGACAAAGATAAGCGAGGTAAATAACGCGATCTTTGGCAGCAGTGCGATGAAGATTGGTGTGTTTGCAGAAATATTTGAGATGTTCGAGAGTGCAGCAACCGATCATTTGGCCGAGCAGCAAGAATAGCCAGTTAATGGCTCTCTTCTTGGATGAAATCACCGGCTTCGCGCTGTTCTCCTGGCCGCAAAACCTGCATTTGGGTAACACAGGATTACACCAAACAGGTGGTGCTCGGTCGTGCATGGAGTGCTTGTTACGCGCTATGTAACCGCCGATTTCAGTGAACTTCTCTATCAAATCGTACTCCATCTGGTATTGTCTCTCGCACCGCTTGCATTGGACGTCGCCGGTGATGGTACGGATCCCGTTCGACAACAAATGTTGAAGATCATGAACCATGGCTCGGTGGTTCGTCGCCCATGGATATGGAGGTTCGATCGTCTCGCTTTTCCCTCTTCGCGGAGCATTTGTTGTAGAGTTCCTCCGATTACGTACGTTTCTTGATGGGACTGCTCCGGTTATGGCCCCACTTCGGGGAACTTCCTCCGGAGACGGCGAAAAAGAGATCTCCTCCGATGGCGCGTAGAGATGATGGTTGGCGGACAACTGAAGAGGGTGGGAAGTTGGTGATTCATAGAGCAGTGTTTGCACCGGTGACGGCAGGGAAACCATTCTTAGTGTTTCTTGTTGGGGAGATACCTGCACCGGTAACGTAACCGCCACCGGCGTCGCCCTGGAAGACGGCCTTGGACTGATAGACAATCTTAACTCAAGATTATCGTCTTGTTCGTCACCCATGATTTCTTGAATCGAGAAAATGGGAATGAACGATGTGCGCTTCTGAATTCAACGAAACAAATGTGAGATTTTCCCGGTGAGAATTTACTTTGAAATTGGAATTCTTTATAAAGTAACTACTCGGATTCTTTTCTGTTTAGGGTTCATGTTCTTGAAGATTTTATACCGTGAGGGGTCGATTGACTTGGTCAGGAGGGGTAGTTTTGTCAGGGTGAAATTGTCCGTTTAAAGGGACTATTTGTTCTTTCGGTCCCTATACTCTTCATATATTATTTTACTATTTTTATTCTTTAATAATTAAAGGTCAATTGAATAAACTAACTCGATAAAATTTCTTGTTGATAATCCAATGAAAATATGATTTTTAAACTATTAAATAAGATAAAAGTTAGTTTAAAAATCATTGATTCTTGTTACTCAATCTTATTTTATTTTTCAATTATATCCTAATTAAAAATATAATAAATAATAAATAATAGATTTTTTTCCTGATTAAGCTAAGGTAATAGAAGTATTTGTATATCCCTGCTAAAAGAATGTAAAGAATATTTATCGAGTTGATGCCTTCCGTTAATTGAACTTTATTTTAATTAGGAAATGTATTTAATAATTTAAAAATATATTCTTATAAACCGAGAAATAATTACAGTTAAAAAAGTAACTAATCCATATTTTTAAACATAAAATAATAACTAATCCTTGTTGTGTTGGTTTGAAAAATATTATCTGTAAAATATTTTTAAAATAAAGCTCTGTTATGAAAAAAAAAACAATAAATTTGAATGAACCAACTTACCTCAATGGTTAAAGGAATCGTTATTTGTTCCTAGAGATCACGGGTTCGAGCACCAGCGGCTGCAGCAGGGTGATTGAGTGTTCATTGTCAAATTATTAAGAGTATTTAGAACATATATTATTTTGTAATCACCTTAGCTTAATAAAAAAAGCAATAATTTATCTAGAAGAGCTTAAAAATAAATAGACAACCTTAATTCAGAAAATAAATAAATAACATTAATTTAGAAAATAAATAAATAAGCAACCTTAAAAATAATGTTGGGGACAGTGATATTAATCATATAATTAATTGATGTTAATTACTCACCATAGTTCTTTGAATATATCATAATTTTCAACATATCAGTATTTAATTGAAGTTATAACACATTATTACCATTAAATAAATGTCCTGGAACTCCACATTTCAACTATTAACATGTAATTGATCCGTAAAACCTTAATAATTCAACGAAAAAATTCATTAAGATAAGGATTATAATTTTAAAGATGATCTTGAAATATTCAAATCTTGAAGATCAATTAAGATAAGGATCACAGTACAAACTTGACAATTAACTTTAAGATAAAAGTTCATTTAAATTTTAAAAAATATATTAAATAAGATGATAAGATAATTTTCTTAGTTTTTAAAATTAAATTATAATTTTAAACGAAAAAGTTTTTTTATTTGTGATTAGTATTTGTAATTTATCTTGAAATTAAATTTTATTTTGAAGGTCAATTATTTCTTAATTAAAAATGTATTTAATAATAAATGATAGTAGGAATTCTCGTATCACGCCTAAAAGGATGTAAAAAGTGTTTATAAAGTTGATGTTTTGAGTTAAGTGAACATCATTTTAATTAGTAAATTTTTTAATAATTGAAAAATGTATTAATAATTACATAAATTGAGAAATAATTTAGGGTTGATTTGAAAATATTAAATATAGAACATTTTTAAAATATTTTTCTTAAGAAAACCAATCTAAAAGTGTTTAAAAATAAATAGAAAACCACTTCAATAAATATATAAACAGACAACCTTAAAAATAAATTATCTAATTAAGTCATTTATGAAATTAAAGATTAAAGATTATGGATATTAGATTTGATATAGAGATTTATGGATTTTGAATTTTAAAATATTTTTAGAAAATTAAAAATCATACGTCATATAATGTTTTTATATAATATAGACTTTTTTATAAACATTGATGATCCGACCTTAAAATGATAACATAATAAAATGTTAAATATTCATTTAAAATGCAAAAAATTAGACATTTAAATAAAAATTAATTTAAACACTTATTTTATACCCGTTCAAAAAATTATACAATTTTAATAGTATAGAATATTATTATTTAAGTTTTGTATTATTAGGATAAGGATAATGGATAGATTTTTAAAGTAAGAGATTAATTTTTTAAATTTACTAATAGTATAGGAATAATGAACAGTTATACAATTATTTTAATGTCAACGCAAAAGTGGTAATGAATTTTAAATAAAACTACTTGTTGAATAATTCAATATAAACATGAAATAAATATTAATAATATGGTAAGATAAATTTCTTAGTTTTTATATTAATATTTATTTTCAAAAATTAAAACTAATTTTTATCTTATTAGTAGTTTGAAAATTCATATTTACATTAAATTATCACCAATATTATCCTTTAAATCTATAATTTAATTTAAAAAAAATAAGAATTTATCTTATCATCTTATTTAATATTTACTTTTTAAAATTTAAACTAACTTTTATCTTAATTAGTAGTTTCAAATTCATATTTACATGGGATTATCAACAACTAATTTGATGTAAGATTCATTCGAAATTTTACATTTAAATAAATATTATATATATATATATATATATAATATATATTTGGTAATAAAAATTATATTATTTTTTACTCATTAATTCCTATGTCCTTCGTAAATTTAAAATGTAATATCATTACTTTATAAATTTTAATTTTAAATTTGAATTCCAATTGATAATACTATTAAATGGTTATCATGAATTATTTGTTTATTTATTCATTTTTAAAAACAACATATAATATAATGAGACGAAAGTCCTTTGAAAGTGTTGTCAATTAATTTATAATTATTAAAAAAAATAAAGAGACTAATGTAGGAAGAGTACAGGGACCGAAAGCAGAAATATACCCTTTAGACATCTAGACCAATTTCACCATACTAAGGTGGTGTTTGGTTTTACTGTGTAAGGTCTGCAAATCTCTTATGTCTGTGCCGCGTAGACCACGCACAATTGGGTTTCGCAGACTGTTTATTTTTTAGAAACAGAAGCTCTTCTAACGTCTGCGCGAGGTCTTCTTGGTGCAGACATGGTTTTATGTCTTCAAAGGTCTTCAAACCTCTTCAAAGAAATTAAAATTATTTAAATCTATTTTAAAATATGGATTGATTATTTTAAAATATGAATTGATTTATTTTAAAATATGGATTGATTTATTTTAAAATATGAAAAAATTTATTTTAAAATATGTATTGATTTATTTTAAAATATGAAAAAAATTATTTTAAAATATAGATTGATTTATTTTAAAATATGGATTGATTTATTTTAAAATATGGATTGATTTATTTTAAAATATGGAAAAATTCATTTTAAAATATGGATTGATTTATTTTAAAATATGGATTGATTTATTTTAAAATATGAATTGATTTATTTTAAAATATGAATTGATTTATTTTAAAATATGAATTGATTTATTTTAAAATATGGATTGATTTATTTTAAAAAAATTATTATTGTAGTTGTATGGATTATTTAAATTTCATTATAAAACTAAAATTATTTAAATTTCAATATTGCAAAACTCTTTTAAGTTTAAAAAATCAGTTTATTTATATTTCAGTTTATTTTAGCAGTCTGCAGACGTTAAAAAACAAACAGTCTTCTTCTTGCAGACTGCAGACTTTTATTCCACCAATTCTGTTGCAGATGCCTAAGGATATGATCCGCAGACCGCTTTACCTCTGCAAAAACAAACACCACCTAAAACTACCCCTTCAGACCAAGTCAATGGCCTATATATAAAAAAATTAATTAAAAAGATATCTGTAAATCCTCGAGAAATTTAACCCTAAACAGAAAAGAATTTGAACAGTTTCTTATTTAAGAAAAAAAATCCCATATCAAGGCCAGATTCTCCCGAGAAAATCTTTACATTTGATTATTGTTTCATTGAATTCAGAAGCATACACCATTCGTTTCAATTTTCTCAAATATTCAAGGAATCATGGATGACCAACAAGAAATCATCAGAAAAAGGAAGGAAAGTCCTTCACAACAAGACGATATATTCTAGAGTGTCTACCAGTTCAACGCCGTCTTCCGCCGGTTACGGTACCGGTGCAGGTGCCCCCTCTACAAGAAACACTAAGAATGTTTTCCCTGCCGTCGCCGGTACAAACAATGCTCTATGAATCACCAACTTCCCACCCACTTCATTTGTCCGCCAACCATCCTCTACACGCACCACTAGAGGAGCTTTCATTTCCGCCGTCTCCGGCGGATGCAACCGGAAGCGGGACCATCACCGGATCAGGCCTTCACGAGCCGTACATGATCGGAGGAACTCTACAACAAATGCTCCACGAAAAGGGAAAAGCGAGACGATCGAACCACCGAGCCACGGTTCACGAACTTCAATATTTGTTGTCGAACGGGATCCGTACCATCACCGGCGACGTCCAATGCAAGCGGTGCGAGAGACAGTACCAGATGGAGTACGATTTGATAGAGAAGTACACTGAAATCGGCGGTTACATAGCGCGTAACAACTAACAAGCACTCCATGCACGACCGAGCACCACCTGTTTGGCGTAATCCCGTGTTACTCATATGCAAGTTTTGCGGGCAAGAGAACAACGCGAAGCCGGTGATTTTAGCCAAGAAGAGAGCCATCAACTGGCTATTCTTGCTGCTAACCAAATGATCGGTTGTTGCACTCTCGAACATCTCAATTACTTCTGCAAACACACCAATCTTCATCGCACTGCTGCCAAAGATCGCGTTATTTACCTCGCTTATCTTTGTCTCTGCAAGCAACTCGATCCCACGGGCCCTTTCGATCGATGCTTTCCGGTGATTGGATCGGTTCCAGGAAGATTTCATATTATCTTGGTATGTATATCAAGCTACTTTGTTTATGATTTTACGTTTGTTTTTTTTGG